CATGTGACGTGGCCTACCACTTGGTGGCTGAGTTGCTGTTGTTCCCAGTTGCTTCCACTTTGTTATAATCCCACTAACAGTTGAGCGTGGAATATTTAGTAGCCAGGAAATGTCACGGATGGACTTATTGCACAGGTGACCACCTATCACGGGACCACGCTTGGAGTCACTGAGCTCCTGAGAGCGACCCATTCTTTCACAAATGTTTGTAGAATCAGTCTGCATGCCTTGGGGATGATTTTATACATCTGTGGCCATGGAGGTGATTGGAACACCTGAATCACATGATTTGGAGGACTGGCCCAATACTTTTGGCAATATAATGTATTAACATTCAGCCCGGTTTCACACTGATGCGGTGAAGAATTTGCAGCATTTTCTGTGCGAATTCCGCACCACATCAGAATCACACCCCGTTCATGCAAACCACTGCGGGTGTGTATGTTGAGTTAACAACACCCCGAAAGCGGTCTGCAAAACTAAGTGCGATGTGCAGAATCGGATCACATAGGTGTGAATACCCATGTGATCCAATTCTAGTGCGGACCCAAAAAAGGGTCTTGCATCTTTTTGGTGCGTGTGCGGTGTGATTAGAGTCATACAAAATGTACAGCTCGAATCGCAACGCACACAAATCGCATGTGATTTGCACAGGAATGCAGTGCGGTTCCTGTACAAATCACATGCGATATACCGCACTGTACATATGTGAACCCGGGCTGAAGCATAAATCCACTTTAAGGCTAGGTTCACACCTATGCAGTTTGCGTTTGATCCGTTTCTGCAGTGCATTTTGCGTTTTTGCATGTGTTTTTTATGCGTCTTGCGTTTTTGTGGGCTTTTTTCTTTTTTCAACTTGTTGCTAGGCAGAATAAAATGCAAAACGCATCAAAGCCACAGTACATGCTTTTCTGCAGCATCTCCGTTGAAGTCTATAGGACCCAAAATGCAACATTTTGCATTTAAAAAAAGTCGCTGACCTGTTCCAAAAAATGCACTGGGTGAAAACGCTGAGATGTGAACCTGTCCCATAGGAAATCATGTTAAATGGACTGCTGTGCATTTTTGCAAAACGCAGCGGAAAACGCTTAGGTGGAACCTGGGGTACGATTGGAAAACACACTCAACAATATTGTGCGCCCAACATTCCTGACCTGTAATAATATCAGTCATTTGTTAAAGCAAACCTGTTTATTTAGATTTTTTTTATACATCAACACATAAAAATTATTATAAATAGAAAAAAATAATTTGGACAATTCATACATCATTTCAAGTTCTGGTACATCATACAATAACTGCAATCTTTGGATATGTTGGTCGTACTTAAAACATATGCACAGAAAAAACAGAGGATCACCATTGAAGTATGTACACAATCAGGCTTAAAGGAGAACTCCAGATTGCTAAAAAAAAAAAAAAAAGATCAAGAATAAACTCTGTATTTAGGTTACACCAGGTTTATGTACAGCAGCTGGGCCAATATATCCTGGTAGGTAGAGTGAGATTGCCTTTTATTTCTCTTTCTGATGCCGGAGTGCTGTCATCAAATGACCCCTCAGTTAAAGTGTTACTAAACCCCGGACCCTGCATTCACTATATCCGCTCTCCCGGACCCCGCATTCACTATATCCGGGCTCCCCGGACCCTGCATTCACTATATCCGGGCTCCCCGGACCCTGCATTCACTATATCCGGTCTCCCCGGACCCTGCATTCACTATATCTGCTCTCCCGGACCCTGCATTCATTATATCCAGTCTCCCAGGACCCCGCATTCACTATATCTGGTCTCCCTGGACCCTGCATTCACTATATCCGGTCTCCCAGGACCCAGCACTCACTATATCTGCTCTCCCGGACCCTGCATTCACTATATCCGGTCTCCCCGAACCCTGCACTCACTTTATCTGCTCTTCCCGGACCCTGCATTCACTATATCCGGTCTCCCCAGACCCTGCATTCACTATATCCACTCTCCCAGAACCCTTAATTCCCTTAACCCTTAATTCACTATATCTGGTCTCCCCGGACCCTGCATTCACTATATCTGCTCTCCCCGGACCCTGCATTCACTATATCTGATCTCCCCGGACCCTACATTCACTATATCTGGTCTCTCCGGACCCTGCATTCACTATATCTGCTCTCCCCGGACCTTGCATTCACTATATCTGGTCTCCCCAGACCCTGCATTCACTATATCCGCTCTCCCCGGACCCTGCATTCACTATATCTGGTCTCCCCGGACCCTGCATTCACTATATCTGGTCTCCCCAGACCCTGCATTCACTATATCTGCTCTCCCGGACCTTGCATTCACTATATCTGGTCTCCCCGGACCCTGCGTTCACTATATCCGTTCTCCCAGGACCCTGCATTCACTATATCCGGTCTCCCTGGACCCTGCATTCACTATATCTGGGTCTCCCCTGACCCTGCATTCACTATATTCGTCTCCCTGGACCCTGCATTCACTATATCTGGTCTCCCCGGACCCTGCATTCACTATATCTGGTCTCCCTGGACCCTGCATTCACTATATCTGGTCTCCTCGGACTCAGCATTCACTATATCCGGTCTCCCACAGTATACACAATATGGAAATGCATTTTTTTTTTAGTAAACATAATGCTTAATACCTTTTCTCATTAGCAGTACATAGCAGTTTTGTGACTTCTATCAGTGTCCGGCCGAGCACTGGTTAAAGCTTGTAGGAGGAGTTTTCATTCTCCCCTGATTGTCCTATGAGGCTGCATAACCCCTGACCATCTGTCTGGACAGTGCTGATTGGCCCTGGACTGATCACATGCACTCTCCACATACACACCAACCTAGAAGGTATTTTTTGCAGGGGGTCTGTTGTTGCTGGGATGGTCTATTGTTGCTGGTGGGGGATTTATTGTTGCTAAAGGGGGATCTATTGTTGCTGGAGGGGGGACTTGTTGCTGGAGGGGGTCTATTGTTGCTGGAGGGTGTCAATTGTTGCTGGAGAGGGGGTGTATTGTTGCTGGAGGGGATCTATTGTTGCTAGAGGGGTCTATTGCTGCTGGAGGGGGATATATTGTTGCTAGGGGGTGCATTGTTGCTGGTGGGGGATCTATTGTTGCTGGAGGGGGTATATTGTTGCAAGAGGGGATCTATTGTTGCTGGAGGGGGAATATGTTGTTGCTAAGGGGGCCTATTATTGCTTAGGGGATCTATTGTTGCTAGGAAGGGTCTATTGTTGCTGGCTATTGGGGATCATGCTTGGAGGTGGGTAGGGGGAGGAGACAAGGGGTGACTCAGAAGGGGGAAGTACTTGCACCTATCTCTCTGAGAAAAAAATCACGTCCCCTTTCACCCAAAATGACAGCTAACCAATCAACAGGTTAATCTGGAAAGTTGCATGGATGCCAAATATATTGTATTCTATACTGGACTACGTTTTCACACAACGCAGAAGATCGCTTTTTGCATTTTTGGGGGACTCTCCTTTAACATTTTTGTAGACTTGAGTTGCACAGTGTGTAAGAGGATCCATTGTGGAGATCAGACTACATGCTCAGCTGTTCCTCCCAGTCTACTTCTAATCAAGTGAACTGCTGCCAGCCAGAACCTTCTTGTCTTGTTACAGGACCGAAATATAGAGCAGTGTATTTTTTCAAGACAGTGACTCCAAAAAACAGTCTGATCGTTGTGCTTTTCTGGAGTTCTCCTTTAATGAAAGACCAGCGTACCGTAAAGCACAGGAAATACCCTTGTGTTGTAGCCAATCAGATGTAAAGCTGTAAACTATGTGCGTGTAGCCCACTCCGGATTGGATACAGAAGACCCTTAGTACTGTGGTGTTGGGTAATAAGGGAATGGCTTGATCCCTGGCCACTCCCCTCCTCTGGCAATATCCATTATTGCCAGTACCTTGGACTGGACGGTGGTGGATTAGTGGAAACTCTCCAGACTAGAGACTTCTGCAGCCCCCTTTGAAAGAAACGGAACAGAAACATGGAGGATCTCCATTCTCACAAATTCTAGTTGGCAGTCATGCTGATCCTCTTAGACACTGGTGGGACCAAGTATGTAGATAAGGACAACTTCTGGAACTTCAGACCTATTTTGGGTCATTGACTGAGAAAGGATCAAATCCAGTAGGTCAGCATAACAGCCTGTGATTGGCCTTGGCAGTGCTGGGGGGGGGGGGGGGGGGGGGGGTTGGATTTTCATCGCTGCCTGTGTCAACATTTGGGAGATTTCTCCTGACATCCTCTCTATTTGACGGGTCAGACAGAATGGGAAGTGAGGGGAATTCTCCTTAGTTCCTGTCTAGTCAATTTTTGTTCACTTGTAACCTGCCTTTAACTACTCTAGAAATAGTTAATTCCCTAGCACAGCCACCTCCCTCATTGCACTTCATAGCCCTCTCCTTCTCTGGGAGTGTCCCTTACTTGCCTAAACATTTTTTGAGCTGTCAGAGGGGAGTGAAGGGGAATACTATACAGCAGCCACTCTCAACCAGAGTTTTGTGGGACACTAGGGTTCCTTCACAAGTTGCTAGGGGTTCCTTTAACCATGGCTGGTTGACCTCACATTTGATGGTGCCGCCATAGCTATGGGACCAATGCCACTTGGCAGAGCCAACTACATGACCCAATAATCTTTTTTAGTTGTCTGTAAGTGTGGTATTCTGGCCACAAATGTACAGGACATTTTTCCCAATGACCACCAAAGTAAAGGACATTCTTCCCACTCATCACCAATGTAAGGAGCATTCTTCCCCTTAATCACCAATGTAAGGAACATTCGACCCACTGACTATCAATATAAGGGGACATTCTTCCCACTGACCACCGATATACGGAACATTCTTCCCACTGACTACCAATATCAGGGGACATTCTTCCCACTGACCACCAATGTAAGGAGCATTCTTCCCCCTGATCACCAATGTAAGGAGCATTCTTCCCCCTGACTACCAATATAAGGGGACATTCTTCCCATTGACCACCAATGTAAGGAGCATTCTTCCCCCTGATCACCAATGTAAGGAGCATTCTTCCCCCTGATCACCAATGTAAGGAACATTCTCCCCCCTGACTACTAATATAAGGGGACATTATTCCCACTGACCACCAATGTAAGGAGTATTCTTTCCACTGACCATCAATGTAAGGAGCATACTTCCCACTGACTGCCAATATAAGGGGACATTCTTCCCATTGGCCAGCAATGTAAGGAGCATTCTTCCCACTGATCACCAATATAAGGAGCATTCTTCCCACTGATCACAAAAGTTAGGAGAATTGTTCCCACTGATCACCAATGTAAGGGGCCTTCTTCCCACTGACTACCAATATAAGAGGATACTCTTCCCACTGACCACCAATGTAAGGAACACTCTTCCTGATGGCCACCAATGTAAGGAGTATTTTTGCCACTGGCCAGCAATATAGGGAGCATTCTTACCATTGTCCAATGTAAGGAGTATTATTCCCACTGACCACCAATGTAAGGGGATATTTTTCCCACTGACCACCACTGTAAGGAATATTCTTCCCACTGACCGCCATTGTAAGGGGATATATTTCCCAATGACCACCAATGTAAAGGGAATTCTTTCCCATTTGTCCCCAATGTCAGGGAAATTTTTTTCCACCACTAATGTAAGGGAGATCCTTCCCACTGACCACCAATGTAAGAGGCATTTTGCCCACTGATCACTAATGTAAGGGACATTCTTTCCACTAACCACCAATGTATGGAACATTATTTACCATTGGCGCCCAGCAAAGTGACATCTGTGAGTCTGCTGGGGCTGTTGACATCACATCCAAGATGGTGACACCCAAAAGCAGTGTCATGGCTTTTTGGATGTGTACACGAGGGATGCTTTTACAGGTAAATAACCGGCATAAACTACAATAAACGGTAATATAATCTTAAGAGAAGATTGCTCTTGAATGGTCTGGTGACAGGTTCTCTTTGAAGAATTTTCAAGGTCCTTTGCGTAGGCTACTGATCATCCACTGCTTACAGAGGATACCACTGCCATGTCAGATTATTTAAAACCGTCCCCCCCTCCAAACCTCGAGAGCAGACATGATTTAATTAGGCTTATAAAATTAAAATACCATTTTTTTCCAGAGTGCTTTCCGTACAACCCCAGGTCTTCCCTAGTTAAAAAGTAAATGCGGATTAGTACAGAAATTTCACATGCATCAATGGATTGGAATCAACTGACCACATACATATATACCTAGGGCATATTCATATATATGTATGCGTCTGTGTGTGTTCTGCGTGTAAGTGCAATTCTTTGGAATGAGTCTGCAACTGCATATAACTGTACAATTTTCTAAATCTAAGATACAAAATTTATAGACATTGAAGTCAAATTTTTAGGGGCTGGTCCATCCCAAAGTGACATTTCAGTTATAGGTAGTGTATGCTATGTAAACACTGGATTTAAAGCATGTAGAAACCCCAAAACAATAATGTAATACATTGCATCTTACCAGGCCTTAGATGTGGTGGATGCATTAGTTTTCTTTTTTTTTTTTTAAGCCTTCTTCCCTTAATTTATACCTGGTTATCCTGCCAGTTACACACTTCCTGTCCCTGCGTGGCTATACTCACTCCTGCACTGTGTATATAGAGACAGCCATAGTTGTCACACAGGTTGGGCTTCAAACATGTCTGCCTTTGTTCATCTCCATTGCATGGAGGAATGATGGGATTAGTAATTTACATAAAAAAAATAAGATTCATTGTGCTTTTTTCAGTTCATAAGAAGAAACATGGTAGAAATAACTAGCAACATAAACAGGTATGTTCTGTACTTTCTGAAATGTGCTGAAAAATAAAAACTGCCACCACACCTATGGACTTGTAAGTGGCAATATATTATATTTTTGGTTTTAGGTTTAGAAACTCTTTAAGATCCTCCTATTGTGGTTCCCAGCTCCAACCACTTTTAAATCTTAGTCCTAAAACTAGCTTGCCACACCTTGCATTCTCCATGTTATAAAACAATAAGAAACTCAACAGCAAGGTTGGTACTCCTTTATTATTGCATAGGAAGGGTAGGGTCTTCCTCATAATTGTATATGGAGGGTGGTTCCCAACTCCAACCATTTTTAAATCTTAGTCCTAAGACTTGTTTGGCACTCCTTGCATTCATCATGATATCAAACAAGGAGAAACCCAACAGCAAGGTTGGTACCCCCTCATCATTGCATTGGAAGGGTAGGACCATCCTCATAATTGTATATGGAGGGTGGTTCCCAACTCCAACCATTTTTAAATCTTAGTCCTAAGACGTGTTTGGCACTCCTTGCATTCATCATGATATCAAACAAGGAGAAACCCAACAGCAAGGTTGGTACCCCCTCATCATTGCATGGGAAGGGAAGGACCATCCTCATAATTGTATATAGAGGGTAGTTCCCAACTCCAACCAATTTTAAATTTTTGTCCTAAGACTTGTTTGGCACTCCTTGCATTCACCATGATATAAAACAAAGAGAAACCCAACAACAAGGTTGGTACCCCCTCATCATTGCATAGGAAGGATAGGACAATCCTCATAATTGTATATGGAGGATGGTGCTCAACTCCAACCACTTTTAAATCTTAGTCCTAAGACTGTTTGGCACTCCTTGCATTCTTCATGATATAAAACAAAGAGAAACCCAACAGCAAGGTTGGTACCCCCTCATCACTGCATAGGAAGGGTAGAGCCATCCACATACTTATACATGGAGAATGGGACATCCTTGCAGTTTTGGGGAAAGGTGTCCAGGTTTGGGAACACTACATAAGTGCGGGACAACTATTCAGTTGATTTAATCGCTCCCCAGATTCTACTAAAAAACTGAAAAGTCACCTTTGGGACAACCAACTCTTTAAAGTGGACTCATCAAAAACAGAGGAGGAAGCCATATTGTGGTTTGAACCAATATTACTGCAATTAAAGAGGGAATCTGACAAAGATGGAAAGCTCCCATAGAGTGGATGTCCAAGGACACCACCTTCCGTTCGGTTAGGTACAGGTGAGTTGAAAATATCTCCCATCTCATATCTCTCTGGAATTTCAGTGATGAAATGGGAAAGTCAAGTGGATAAAACACCCTATAATAACCTCTTGATGGCCATAGTTGTGGATAGAATTTTGGAACTCCGTCCATTGGTATGAAATATCATCCCGAATAGTAAGTTTTGAAAGTGGATCTATTTCTTCCGAAACATTTGCATTTTTAAACAGAAATAGTCTGACTCTTAGTAGGGGATTTTGGTGTCCACCTTGGGATATCCATCCTCAATACCTCTGTCCCATAACACTCTTTCTGGTCACCAATAAAATGAAAATTCTGCCATGCTTTTTTTTTCTTAGTTTTCATAAAAATGTACAAAGTCTGAAGAAGGGATCTATGGTATCCCAAAATCTTGCAACTTTATTGGTATAATAGAAATCATTTAACTTCCAGGTATAATAGAAATAATTTAACTTCCAAAGTTGTAGAATGAATCAAATGATCTCACTGTGAACGCATGGCAGAAGTGAAAGCCAGGCCTATAGCATTATAATTATGACAGAGGAACTTCAGGAATGGATGTGCTCAAACCAATTATATTGTGAATATTGTCTAAGCAGAGCGTTCCTCCAGTGAGACCAATGTCAAAACAATCAGTAGATTCAGGAATGTATGCATTCCTCTCTTCAGCTATGTCCAAGTCTTGGAAATTCTATAAGCCAGTTCCCTAGGCACCAGGTCTGATGTGTTTGAAAACCTTTTCCATAGAAATTTCTTGGTCAATATTTTACAAAATAGGTCTCTCCTGAGCCTCCCTGCCTGCATCCATTGACACAGAGCAGGCGACTTGGCCCTGTCCACCACTCCGTCAGCACAGCAGTTGATTGACAGCAGCGGGAGCCAATGCATGGAATGCATTAAGGTGAAAAACCTTAGGGCTTTAGAACCACTTTAAGCTGCAAAATCTCTGGATCTGCTGTTTGTTTTAACCTTCGGTTCTCACTGAATATGTTTGCGTATTTGCTCGGCTTGAATAGGGCAGATTTGGGGCAGGTGTACTGTAAATGATGTAGCAGGGAGCAGATGGCTTTGCTAGGAAGGAGTTAGGAAGAAGACTTGTTTTACAGAGGTCTGTAAGAGGAATGTCCCATGTCATGTTTATACCATCTTTCTAGTCAACTGTAGCCATTTATAGATGGCAGTAGTCACACACAACTAGTTTTTCAATAAAATTTGACCATTTCCCATTGGCCTTTCAACAACTGGTAAAATGATGAAACAACATACCGGTAGTTAAAGTGTATCTAAACCCATAAGTCAAATGTAGAATATCGCATTGATGCTTACCAGTCCTTAGACATGCAGGCTGCACTAGTTTTATTTTTTCAAGCTTTTGGTTCCTTTATTGTTACTTGGCGATCCTGCCAGTAACACACTTCCTGTCCTAGGGAGATAAAGCTCATTTACCATATTGTACCTGTGGAGGCACATGGTTGTCATGCTAGAACAGGACGTATGTTTGGACTGCAAAACACCTGGCCTCTCCTAATCACTGTAAAAGGTGGAGGTGTTCTGTAGACCACAGAAGGAACTGGAACAATCAGGGGCGGACTGACAACTCATGGGGCCCCCGGGCAATAGGGGATCATGGGGCCCCTATGTCCTTGCCCAAACTCAAAAAAGCCTATGAAAAATGTACCAGGGGCATCTCATGGGGATCCCTACTGACCCCGGGCCCTCGGGCAGTGCCCGAGTTTCCAAATGGTCAGTCCCCCCTGGGAACAATGTAACTGATAACAGTCATCATAGGTAGAGAGCAAAAGAAGTTACCATCTGACAAGATTTGTGCAGGATCAATTTTTAGCAATAATTTTTTTTTCGATCACTTTTTTGCACTCATTTTTTTTTCAATCGATTTTTTGCACTCATGGAACTGATGGAACAAAACCCTTTCAACTGTAAATTTAACAGACCAAAAATGGGAAAATAAGAGAAGTTCATTGTTAGGGTTTACATACACTTTAAACAATACTTTTTATGTGTACAGTATATGCCTAATTTGCTTCACATTGATTGATGAATTGATACTTCAAAAATGAGAGATCCACCTAAAACTCGAAACCCACCAAGCCTTCTACTCTTATGTTACTAATTCCTAGGTGTCAAGCTGAAAATTGTTTCATTCCCCAAGATGGCCAACTCCAATCTCTGCAGTTGACAAGTTCACCTTCAACCATATTGACAATAAAACCAACTTTGATCTTAACTGCTTGTCTCAGAAAGGGGAGCATGGTTCAACGTCACACTCCAAGGATCAAAGAACTGCCTCGGGGAAAGGTTGTCCCCCAAAGAAAATGGGTACAGTCCTCCATTCCTGTCTGTGTCTAGGCGTGCCCTCTCTAGTAGCTTCATGTGAGAGTCCTCGTATTGTTTTTCCAAGTCTGTTAAGTTCAGGAGGTTTCTGGACTCTTCAAGTAGATGTTTTTGGCTAGGCCCTGGAACGCCAATGGTCCCAGGAGCCACAACATGGTCTCTGTTGCTCTCCAGACTTGGAGGCATCACCATAAAACCTTCCTCACCTCCACGGTTGTTGTGTGTAAACAATAAACTGGAATTTCTCCAAGCTGCAGGCTTCCTTCCTGGGTTCTCCTGGGCCGTGACATTCGACAACTTTGTCTCTTGATATGGCGATGGAGGTGATCTGATCGGGTAAAGCTCTTGTAGCAGAACTCGCACTGGTAGGGCCGGATTCCAGTGTGGATGCGCATGTGGTTCTTCAAGTCATAGTTGTGGACAAACTTGGCGTTGCAGTGGATACACAGATAGGGACGCTCACCTGTATGTTTTCGCATGTGAATCTTCAGCTTGTCTTGTCTAAAAAAAAAAATAATAATAATAATAATTTAATAATTAAAGGGTGCCTTTAACAAAACGTTTGACTCTTCCTATTTTTATATTTCCTAAATTAAATTTAATGAAGGATATGATCATCTGAGTAGTCATTCAAGCTGTTTTCATACCTCATAGTCACATTTTTCATAATTGAGTTATTTATGGGAATTAAAGCTCATCTCCAGATACCAAAAAAGCTGGAAGTATACCAGTAGAATTTTGTTAGACAATTTTCATTTTCAGAACATTCGTTACATTTTCTAATGGACAGTAGGGTCAAATTGACATTCGTTTTCAACCCCAGAGATGAGGAAATTCAAAATTCACAAATTGTACATATTTTAAAGTGCAAGTTCTAGGCACAAAGGAAACCTGTTGAATATATCTAGAATTCCATTCAAGTAACAGGTGTGGATGACTTTTTAGGGGTTTTGAATGAAATGGGAAGATTAAACACTCTGACAAATAACTTTTTTGAACGTTCAAAAATCTGTGTTTGGCCTGAAAAATGTAAGCATTTGCTGAATTCAGGAGGACGATTGCTGTACGCCATTTGCTATCATTGTAGGGCTCCCCACAGAGTGAATAGGTGTAGGAGTAGTAGCGAATCACCTATGCCTATACTGTCGGCATTAACCACTTGCCCTCCAGAGGATTTACCCCCCTTCCTGACCAGGCCATTTTTTGCAATATGGGGCTGCGTTATTTTAACTGACAATTGAGCGGTCATGCAACGCTGCACCCAAATGAGATGTATGTATTTTTTTCCTATTTTTTTTTTCCGGTTGTATTTGATCGCCTGTGCATTTGTTATTTTTTGTGCTATGAATAAAAAAAGACCGACAATTTTGAGAAAAAAAACTGTATTTTTTACTTTGTGCTATTAAATATCTCCTGTAAAAAAAAATTAAAAATCATATTTCGCCATAAACTTGGGCCAAAATGTATTCTGCTACATGTCCCAATACGTGTACATTTATTGGAAAGTTATAGCGTTTACAAATGGTGGTATATGTACTGGAATTTTTTTTTTTCTACAAGTAATGGCAGCAATCAGTAACTTATAGCGGGACTGTGGGACTGCGGCGGGCATTCACTGGGGGGAACTGGCTTGGTGTCACTGACATCCCCAGTGACACCAATACAGTAATCAGTGCTAATAAAAACCACTGACACCATACTAATGGCACTGGGCAGGAAGGGGTTAGCATGTGGGGCGATCAAAGAGTTAACTGCGTGCTGTTTCACTATGTTGGCTGTGTGTGTGTGCTTCACTGTAAGCACACTGCTTTGCATAGCTCTTGAATTTGGGAAGACAGATATATTCTATCATTGATACAAATATTTTCGGAAGGAAATCAGCAATAGTCAGCAATATGTTTATATTTCGAATTTCTTTTTTAATTCAATTTCGGTTTTTAATTCAATTCGCATTTCAGACAAAATTTTGTTTCGTTATTTTGGAGTCGTTTTAATTTACTGTATTTTTTCGCTCCATAAGACGCACCTAGGTTTTAGAGGAGGAAAACAAGAAACAAATATTCTGAACCAATGGACTGCAGACATAGTACAGCAGATGACCAGAGACTGCGGACATAGTACAGGAGATGACCAGAGACTGCGGACACAGTACAGGAGATGACCAGAGACTGCGGACACAGTACAGGAGATGACCAGAGACTGCAGACATACTACAGGAGATGACCAGAGACTGCGGACATAGTACAGGAGATGACCAGAGACTGCGGACATAGTACAGGAGATGACCAGAGACTGCGGACATAGTACAGAGGATGACCAGAGACTGCGAACATAGTACAGGAGATGACCAGAGACTGCGGACATACTACAGGAGATGACCAGAGACAGAGACTGCGGACACAGTACAGGGGATGCCCAGAGACTGCGGACATAGTACAGGAGATGACCAGAGACTGCGGACACAGTACAGAAGATGACCAGAGACTGCGGACATAGTACAGGAGATGACCAGAGACTGCGGACACAGTACAGGAGATGACCGGAGACTGTGGACACAGTACAGGAGATGAGATGACCAGAGACTGCGGACACAGTACAGGAGATGACCAGAGACTGAGGACACAGTACAGGAGATGACCAGAGACTGCGGACACAGTACAGGAGATGACCAGAGACTGCGGACACAGTACAAGAGATGACCAGAGACTGCGGACATACTACAGGAGATGACCAGAGACTGCGGACATAGTACAGGGGATGACCAGAGACTGCGGACATAGTACAGGAGATGACCAGAGACTGCGGACATACTACAGGAGATGACCAGAGACTGACACAGTACAGGAGACTGCAGGACTGCGGACACAGTACAGGAGATGACCAGAGACTGCGGACACAGTACAGGAGATGACCAGAGACTGCGGACACAGTACAGGAGATGACCAGAGACTGCGGACACAGTACAAGAGATGACCAGAGACTGCGGACATACTACAGGAGATGACCAGAGACTGCGGACACAGTACAGGAGATGACCAGGGTAGACTGCGGACACAGTACAGGAGATGACCGTAGACTGCGGACACAGTACAGGAGATGACCGTAGACTGCGGACATAGTACAGGAGATGACCGTAGACTGCGGACACAGTACAGCAGATGACCGGAGACTGCAGACACAGTACAGGAGATGGCGGGAGACTGCGGACACAGTACAGGGGATGACAGAGACTGCAAACACAGTACAGGAGATGGCCAGAGACTGCGGACACAGTACAGGAGATGACCAGAGACTGCGAACATACTACAGGGGATGACCAGAGACAGCGGACATAGTACAGGAGATGACCAGAGACTGCGGACATAGTACAGGAGATGACCAGAGACTGCGGCATAGTACAGGAGATGACCAGAGACTGCGGACATACTACAGGAGATGACCAGAGACTGCGGACACAGTACAGGGGATGACCAGAGACTGCGGACACAGTACAGGAGATGACCAGAGACTGCGGACATAGTACAGGAGATGACCAGAGACTGCGGACATAGTACAGGAGATGACCAGAGACTGCGGACATAGTACAGGAGATGACCAGAGACTGCAGACATAGTACAGGAGATGACCAGAGACTGCAGACCTTTGGGGAGAGTGGGGGGGGAGCAGGTAACCGCTCCCATTTCTGCTGCGATCGCCTAGGTGTAGGTGATTGGAAGCGGGAGGTGTCCTCCCTCCTTCCCCTTAGTCTTCTGGGACACGTGACGAGTCCCAGAAGACTACGGGGCCATTCACAGAGTGCAGCGCTTCTGTGAAGCCGCAAGCTGTCACAGCCGGGTGCCCACACTGAAGATGCCTGGCACTGGGGAGAGAAGACGGCCAGTGAAACCAGCCATGGTGAGGACACCGCAGGACCGAGGGACAGGTAAGTGTCTGTATTTTAAAAGTCAGCAGCTACAGTTTTTGTAGCTGCTGACTTTTTCTCTTTTTTCTTTCAGCTGGAACTCCCCCGACGCCGTGCATTCTAACATGGCGGCGGGGAGGGGGGGAGTCCTGGTCAATATTCGCTCCATAAGACGCACAGACATTCCCCCCATTTTTTGGGGGGTGAGGGGGAAATTGCGTCTTATGGAGCGAAAAATATGGCGGTTACTATTGTAATTCGGACATTCAGATACATCTCATTCTACGAATCAAGAAAATGTTATCAGAATTTCAATAGGGAATGAAATGAATGTGTCTATTTACAATTTATTGATTGTTATTATTTATTTCAGGTACTTATATAGCACCATCAATTTCACGCAGCGCTTTACATATATATTGTACATTCACATCAGTCCCTAACCCTCAAGGGGTGTACAATCTAAGGTCCCTAACCCTCAAGGGGTGTACAATCTAAGGTCCCTAACTCACATTCATACACATACTAGGGACAATTTAGACAGGAGCCAATTAACCTACCAGCATGTCTTTGGAGTGTGGGAGGAAACCGGAGTACCTGAAGGAAACCCACACAAGCACAGAGAGAACATACAAACTCCAGGCAGTAGTGCTGTGGCTGGGATCTGAACCAACGACCCTAGTACTGCCAAGCGGAAGGGCTAACCATTACACCATTGTGCTGCCCTATGTATTCCTCTATCCAAAGAGATCAACCAATAGACTTTTTCTCTTCCCCCAAGATCTATCAGTCTTGGAGTGTCTACTGGGATCTGAAGACAGCCAGTCACCCAGTCCTATCAGAACTGTCTGTCCACGAGTTGTGTGGAGTACGCAGTGATTGCTATGTGAGTATCTACATGTCTATTGCTGGTAATAAAAGAGAGCCGGCCTTCGTTTTCCTAAAAGCAGGTTTTTGTAAAGCGACCCATTCAAAGACTGAGGCCAAGCAAGTGGCTGTCTGCAGCAGATCAAAGCGCAGGATGCGTCTCATTGTATGAACCGCCTATCGCAGGTCCTGATGGCTTCCTGATAGGACACAGCATAGACTCCTTCATGACGGGAGAAGTAAACTAAACTCACATAAACTCAGTGAACTCCATAAATCTCCGAGCTGTGTGCCATTACCTACAGTAACACATTGATAAAGCACAGTGGCTAAGTGGTCAGCACTTCTGCCCAGCGGCCCGAAGGTCGTTGGCTTGCATCCCAACCATAGCACCACCTGCCTGGAGTTTGCATGTTCTCCCTGTGCCTGCGTGGGTTTCCTCAAGGTACTCCAGTTACCTCCAACACTCCAAAGACATGCTGGTACCCACATGGAAGAAAAACATATTTTAAATATATTTTAAAAATATTCTTCCCAAATATATTGCCATATACTTTAAATACTACAATTTTGGCCATATTCAATATATTTCAAAATATACTTCAATAAATAAATAAATAATAATAATAATAATATATATATATATATATATATATATATATATATATATATATATATCAGTAATATGGGTGGAGTGCACAACGGTGATCAATCACAGTGCATAGCTATCAGG